TGAATCGACCACCCCAATGTGACTCCAAGGCGCTCAGACGACCGATTTATGCATTCGTACCACCCGCATGTAACACAATTCGGTGCTTCTTGCTTGAGGCGTGATGGCGGATAACTCTCGGTAGAAAATATCCTTCTCAGGTTCAGAACTGCAGTCCATTGCGGCATAAGCCAACATTACGTAGAGGAACCGTTTCTTATGTCAACAGGAACTAAGCCGGAGAAGATGGTGGCAAGAGAATGACTGTTTACTTGAATTTTACCCAGCAAAGCTCACTCATTTCCGGGTCGCAGTGCAACTCATATATCATATGTTCCACCAGTCACCGTTTCTGGATCATCGGGCACACTGGGGGGGGGAAACGCGAAGGACCTGAACTTTTCCCTGGTGTTCTGAGTTACATAAGAACGCCTGGGTCTGGTGTGCGTGTTTTGGAGACACGACCTACGCCAAGTTAGGGAAACACAAGACTTTAGGGAGCTAGCTAAATGGGTATGACGTACCCTAGAAGAATGTTTGTCATGCGTGTCAGGTGGGTTCGTTCGGCTGCAAGATATGATCGACAAAATGCTCGTCGTGGCATATTCTGCCAATACAATGCAGAACTCTGTTGTTTATCAACGAACATGCACAAGTCATCAACAGCTGCGAACAGTACATTCTTCAAACCTTACACGATTTTTCCAACAACAATGAATGCGCATTCCACGATGATAATTTGTAACGACATTTTTCGCGGTCCCTGAAGAAATAATTCGGTACCCGACCAGTCAAGCGGATATAAATAGCAAACATTATTTACAGAAGTGGCACTCCCGCATATTATGAATTCACGAGGTCCATGTAGAAACCAGAAAGCCCAATGTAATATTCCGGTGGCGGAAATGACTGCGAACTTCGTCCATTTTAAGCTATTCACGTTTTACCGTAATTAGCGATGTCTTATCACATCAGGCATCGTTTTAACTGTCGGTGGTATTTGATGACCTTAAAGATTCGCTCACTTAAACAAGTCACCCATACAGATAATTTTTACGAAAATTCTTTGGTATGCTTCACTAAGGAGTGGTAACCCCGAAAACGCCGTAACTTTCGAGAATTCAGTTTCATTGTGCGAATACTGAGCGACAACCTTAACAACTGTTTCCAGCAGTCTATACATACCGCAAACAGATCGCGCCAGTGTATGCGCGGCCTCATCCGTGCCAGATAATGCCCTTTATTTGGGAGCCTGCGAGCTTCTGCGTCATCCTCATTACCCCCAACTCTCCTCAGTGGTGTCCTTGTTTTTCTATACCATTATGATCATGCCTGATTGTATATCACCCGAAAACGCCGTAACTTTCGAGAATTCAGTTTCATTGTGCGAATACTGAGCGACAACATTAACAACTGTTTCCAGCAGTCTATACATACCGCAAACAGATCGCGCCAGTGTATGCGCGGCCTCATCCGTGCCAGATAATGCCCTTTATTTGGGAGCCTGCGAGCTTCTGCGTCATCCTCATTACCCCCAACTCTCCTCAGTGGTGTCCTTGTTTTTCTATACCATTATGATCATGCCTGATTGTATATCACCCACCATCGGGGTGGTTGGGGCAGACATTATCACTGCTAACCTACGATAGAAATACACTGTCCTAAAGTGTAGGTGTGGAAAATTACGTGTGCAAAAAGTTACTGGTGGTCATGGGGGATTTCGGCTTGCAAAATCAGTGAAAGGAGTGAGTGCGGCTGGAGAACAGGGATAGTGCCAGGTGGGTAGGCGTATGCACCAGTAATGTGTATGCACGGGGCTGTCATGGGCCGTGTTGCGGCCCGAAATGGTGACCTCGTGATCTGCAATCGCTGAAGCGTAGCGTTTCCGATCGTTTTGTTAACACGGTATCAAAGTAGGTTTTGCACTTTTCTCAAGATGTAAGGGGAGGAAAAGAATAGCTATGGGGGCATCGATGTGTTGGCAATAGCTCCTGGAAAAAGGTTTGAGAGAGTTAGGTGTAAAAAGAGGTTTTACCCCCAAAAGGAAAACCGGGCACCAGATCGACCCGCAAAGTGATTCAGCTGCAGGAGTATTTTAGGCTGTAACCAGCTAGCCATGAGCTGCGCAGAGATGAATGGTGTGTTTGTGCTTTTGAAGGGAATGGAAAACTCTTTTGTGAACGAGGTGAAAGCGACTTAATGCTCACCCGGAAACTCTCTGAGGGCATTCCTCCGAGTAAACGTGGATAGGGCTTCTGGCTGGCTTCCAGTCGTCTCTTTAGGCCGCAAAATACCAGTAGCGAAGATCGCTCTCTAAGCCAAAATCAGGGGTAGCGCGCTATACTGCCTTAGTGGCTTGAGAAGACAACAGATGCTTTTCAAACACCCGAGGTTCCGGCTATGAGTTTCGCTGTACTCATGAGACCTTGGAGATTTGAATTTAAGGGCACGGGAATGCTGGATCCTAGTACGGAAAGCACATTGGGTTGAGCCCAAAGTTGTCTGTCCTTGGCCAGACAGAGAGTGTCCTTCCCCGTATTGAATTATTAACCGGAATGATGATTCACGAATATGTATCTCTGGCTGAGACTTACGTGGTATGTACCCAAAACCGCATTTGTTTAAGGGGTTACATATACAGTGGCTGAAATGCACAGGCGCATCTAGGCAAATATGAAAGTGCGAGTCGCTGGTCATAATTTCGTTGGAATATTTATATACCCGCATTAATTTACTATTTTCCTGTACAGGCTTTCCCAGGAAAAAGGGTTCACCTTCGCCCTCTATCTTCAGGGGAGAACTTTTCGTACCATGCATGTTATAAGACCTTTGAATTCAGCTTTTAGATTGCAACAAATAAAATGCGGATTGCTTTCACAGCACTGAGCCAAGTGGTATTGATAACAAATGAACAGGTCACCCGTTCACATCTACCATTAGGGATCGGAATACCGCGCCAACCAACAAATGGTACAGGACCGCGGGTAGAAGGAGAAGCCTGATTCCACAGGTCTCACACTGAAGGCATGAATCATCGTAAAGTTGCTTCCAAAGTTATCAATTCGATACATCTCTTGTCCATTACAAAAATCGACCATGTGACCAGACAGACTGGGTCGTCCAATCAACTAACTTGGAGGGTTGGAACTCATGGGTAAAGTAATCAAACAGGATTGGCGTTCTGAATTAATTTCACCACCACCAGCATGATCAATGTTCGAGCGTCGACAGGATTCATTGCTTTGGATGTGGCATAACTTGCTGCGTTTGTTACATTTGGAACTCCGTTGCCCCCATGCGTAGCGCAACTGTGGTTTGCTTCAAGCGGCACAAATCCCGAGAAGTAGGCCGCTATATACTACCACTTATTTTGATTAAAACCGCGACGGCTTGTCACGATGCGGACACTTAGTTGCATTGAAAACACTGCGCCTCTTCATGAGGTTCAGCTCCGTCAGATACAGGAAGGGTAAACGCACCTCTATATTACTCATGAGTATCAACCGGCGGAAGAGTAGGATCACCAAGTAGAGGGTTTTAGCTGAAGAGTTAGTTAATCCTGGCAGTGAGCAGATCTCAGCTACATATCTAATTGGTCGTAAAACTCGTTTTAGCAACCTGTCCGTGAAACTGAGGAATGGATTCATATGTATTTTGTTTCTATATAATGGCTACTTCAATAGCTGTAAATTTGATACAGAATTCAAGCCATTTTGAGTCCTGCTTGCTCTGCAGTACCTGGAAAATTAGAATAGGTTCAATTCGCAAAAGCGTGTAGTCAACTTCTCGAGTAAGGCTAAGGAAGAACGTAGTCTTCCCATTGGGTATATTTTTATGCGTAATACACTGTTTCGAGTCGTTCATTGTCTCTTGCACTAGAATCAATATCCAGGAGGTTCCAACAAAAGAGCTGCGACGCGACTTTCAGTAGAAACTGTACGAATGCACAACCGTTTCCGAAGCAAACAAAACTAATCCAGGAGTTGGTAACAAATATCTTATGGAATTCTACGGGCCTAGTACCTCAACTAGAAGCGTGAAACGCCAGTCATTGAACCTCACTGTACAGAGTGCCGGCGTGTGTGAAGACCTTTAGTACACTACATACCTCGATCGATGAAGTAAAGTTTATCACCAAAATATCCAACTCATAAACGAAACAACAGGTTAATATACTAAGTCTCGTTAGCTTGATATCTTCGCGTTTTAAGTGAAAACGGTCCAATGTGTGTGATATCCAAACCAAATGATCTGACATGAGCGACGGTTGCTGATTCAAATGTGAGTGTAAGTTGGTCCATCAAAACTTGCGCTTGAATAGCTTGGTAAGGTATAACAGCATGCCTTTTCATTATGTGGCTGATCTAATGTCATCTACGTCTTCCTGTTGTCACAAGTCATTTCGTCAGGTGAAGGAAAGTGTGCAAGATGGTTAGATTTTCATGAAGGCAACAGCTAAGAGTTCAATCCACCACTACATATCAAGGAACCTCACAAAAGGTGCTAGCACCTGACTGAACGTGCTGAGGTGCAGGCATCTCCGAATGATTGTAGTAAGCCAGCACTTAGTCCCTTCCCCGTCCACCTTCATTCTTTTCTTCACAATAAGGCTTTCAATTAAACCATGGTTGTACGGCTGCGAAGCAGCGGTGTTGAACACTGGTGTCCTGCTGTTGATGATGATGACACCGGTTTCACAATCCTTAACAGCCACCTTCATCTCATGTATCAAAACTAGGTCCTTCTCACTACCATCACCACAGATGGATTAGTGCAATTTAAACACTTGACTCTACGAACACAATGACTGAGGTTTCAAATCCCTAATTAATACTACTCAAAGTGCTTGAATTCTTCCTTGAGGTAGCATTATGGTTTATGCTAGTTGAAGTACACCAGATCATAACCTGGTCACACAAAACTGCACACCAAATCCAAAAGCGTCAAGGGAACCAAACATCTGGCCCAATTTGATGAAGAAAATTCGGAAATAATGAATGGAGTGTATATTTCTGTACAATTATGGATCGAAAAGTATTATCACCAAGCTATGTCGCTGAGTGACTCATCAGCAAAGCTCGACAGGACATCATCCATGTCTGTGAACAAACAAAAAGGAGCATTGGGTTAATTAGGCAAATACAGCTGGCCTGCGACTGAGTAGCTACGGTAAAAAATAACACAGCCACTATCTTTTACACTAATCACCTGAAGACTGTAAAGCTTCCGAAAGTAATATGAAAATAAAGCTCGGGCGCTCGTAGCTGAATTAACTACAGGGGCAGTTAGATGAACCGATCTGCTTCATCAAGGTCACTATCCAATTGATAGATTTCAACGAACAAGATTATCATCATAGACAGCAAAATTAGTGTTGATGCTGATGCCTCACTGCCGTTCGTTTAACTATATTTAAAGCCCTAGGGTGAAAAGAAAAAGAGTAGGCGCTGACGAATAAGAACGACCAACTGAAAGACTAACCGGGTTGATTGAACTGAAATAGGGCGACGGTACACCAAATCCACGCAGCGTACTGACCATAAGGCAAAAAATTGTTGAATGCTTACCCATTTATTTGGCCAACTGGTGGGATAATAAGTTACCTGATTTCAGATACACTGCGACGGCACGTATTGGATTATTGTGGCTAGTTCGTTTACCACTACCTTTAGGTGGCACACTAATACTACTGAACCCGCCACGAGTAGCACTTCAAGTAGGAGAAACTTTATGAAGTCGAACGGCGATTTTCAGTGTGTATATCGTAGACCGTAACCGAGTTTGACTAACTCACTGGAAACCTGAAAACAGGAAGAGGTCAAGCAACAATGCAAGTTTGCGCGTAAGTTTCACCAAGATCGGGGCTGTACGCCTACCATAAAGCTACTATCATCCAGGCACCGCGCTATGTGGGACCGACAACTGCGGATAGTGGGCAAACATGAGTTTCGAAGTTGAAAGTATTTGGCATCCAACGGAATCCTTCAGAAAAGTTGGGTATGCTAATAAAAAGGTTCGCAAGCACATCAATCAATCATTGTCCAACTGAATTAAACCTATACTTCAATGATTGAAATAAGTGTTTTTTTTTAAAGCAGCTCCGAGCATATAGTACTGGAAGAGTAAATCCAAAGTATTCAAAATCCTCTTAATAAAAGTACAAGACATAAGTAACATCCAGGGCCTGAGAGCATAAAATGTCATTGCTCGGCAACTTCTAAAAAAGACCAACTATGAAGATATTTGAGTTATTTGAGATAGCCATTTCACCAGTGGAATGCCAACGTTAGTAATAATGAAAAATGGAGAGTTAGTAAGACAGTCACGAGATCCGCTTCCTTCGGAATAAAGGAACATTCCACATCCCAAAAAGTCGGAGCACTAAGTGGCAGGAAACATTCCTGAGACTTCTGTGAAAGCGTTAGACCAGGCCTGTAGAATCATGTAACCTTCAGGAGTGTCAAGCCCACACTCGAGTACTACATGGCCAGTATATTTGCATCGTATACGAAATAGGACGAAAACAAAAGAATGTCGGAGAACAGTAATTCCTTACTGTCTAGAGGCTAGAAAACTCGCCGCTGTCACACCTGTCAAGTAGAGCCCAGCAATAAGTAGACCGAACATACAGCAGGGATACCTGAGTTGCGTTAGAAAGCGATCATCAAGTCCACCATTAGTAATAAATCTTGTTGATTTTTTCCGTCTGCCTTAAAACTCAACCGACCCTGTAACCTGGTGAGCCGCCCTGACGAAGGTATTATGCCAAAAGTAAAACGTTACCCAGCGACGAACCTATCAATCGTTTTCCAAACATTTCCGATGGTTTCCGATCTTACAAAACTGAATAACTCAACAGCCGTAAGCGCAATAAGCTACAGATGAAGATTAAGTGGGATGTCCAGAGTTAACAAGGGCATATGGACCAATGCAAGTTTGAAGAACTGAGTCCTCGGCCGGGCTCAATAGAGATGTAAGAGACGTCATTTGGATTGACAACACAATCCCCACTCCTCAGTCACTTTCACGAATTGTTGATGCACGTGTAGTAACGCAAACTAAGGCATGTAAAGGGAAAATGGTCCAAAACGGCGACAGTTCATCGAGTCACATACGATGTCTGCTCAACTGAGGATGCATTCAGTAAGCAAATAACGAGGACGTTGAATTAAGGCGCAGGAATCAAAACAAATTAGCAAAGTGGGGTGACATAGAAGTGCGGAGGAGCAGGTCTCCCTTCGAACCAGGGGCCCTAGTAGTCCGGTAGATAACACCGAGTACATGAGTTTGAACGATCTGGCCTCCATCCCAATGTATAGTTTTTGTTTAGGGAACATATACGTAAAAATGCGTTAAAGGTGATATACATGTACGCTGAATAGAGGGATAGTGGAATCTTTTCAAAGTTTACCAGAGGGATGGATCAATAAATTGACAAAACGGCTCTTTAAAAGGGGAGTGTATCCGAAACGAAATCACAAGACTTGACTATGACCCACCAGTGAAAATAGTCGGCGCAAAAATCAAACTGACTTGTTTGAAATAACAGTGGTGGATGATGTAATTCTGCATGCCACTCGTCCCACCTCTAATTATCACTTTATGAAATTCAACGTTCACACTGATGTATCGTCACTTTACAAATATTGGTAATTACGGGGGCAAAGCGCTACTGTGGACATTCAGGTCACTAAGAAATCATGCGGTGTGTAGGACACAGAAACAAAACGGAAAATAGATCTTGCACACGTGTAATGCGCTACTCATAAGGTTGCTGAAAACTCTCCGGCAGTCCACGGCCGGTTTCGCTCGGCTCCGAGTCTTCTTCAAGCTTATGTTCTACGAGATTCGACTTATACACTTACCTCTATACCAATTTGGTTTCGACTGGGGGCTTACCTGGAACCCCGCTCAATTTCTGGTTTATGTTCTTCTTCATAGTAGTATTACGTATAGTGCATTGAGTGTATACAATGTATTGCAATGTCTCGAACACTGTGCCAACTGGAACATGAGGCGGCCTGGTGCAGCATATCTAGTTGAGGAAGAACGTCACACTCGAGAGGTTCAGATGGGTGCCGCGTGAGTCTTCTGTCAAAACCAAATTGATATGCAGATGAGTGTAAAAGTAGACCCCTTATCATTTTTTGCGTCAAATTAGATGAGGAATCCAGGTTGGAACAGGAGCATACATCTACGTGACATGCAGTACGTTGACCTTACAAAACACTCACCATCATTGAGCAACTTATCAACTGCAGGGGGTCCAGTCACAAAAGACTGGGGTCGAATGAAAGCATCGGGGGAAGGCTCCGGAATGGAAACACTGTGCGTCGACCCACGAAGGAGAGAACCCAACCCGGTGCGAACAGGTGTTTGACAATTGCGGTTGGTTTCTGATGGAGGAATCGATGGTCTGGATGGTCGGATCCTGTAATCCGAGGCACTGAAATAAAGCGATGCAAAACTGCTATGTTGAACGCCTCTGGGTATAAAGAATATTAGTTGTCCTGAGATGGGACGACTCCGCAAGTCAGTTGATTAATATCATCATCACTGACAGTGAAACCAGTTTTGAAGATCCATGCCTCAAATGTCCACAGTGAACTACAGGTCCTTACCAGGATTTCTGAAGTTGGGTTAAAGTATAATGATAGTAGTAGAAATGCAGTCGACAGTCGGAAATTTCGGTCACACTAAGACATTTCCCTTTAATAGGATTCATCAAATGAGCACAGAGGAATCGAAAGAGGGATGGTTCAAACAGTAACAGTTTCAAAATGAATTCTAATAGAGGGAAATGAATATCAGAGTGCTTCATATGGATGAACGTCATGGTTGTACAATCAAGTTGGCAGTGCATATAAAACACCCAACCCAGCGCATGTCGCTCTGAATGGTGCTGCGTCACGTTGAGTAAAACCGCTCTAAAAGGATCTTGCAGAAAAACGAGCTGAAATGGTAGCTCCGGATCGGTGATAGGTATAGGGGATACCGCAAACCGAAGCTTGTACATAAACACACCAGAAAGGATGAGAATGAAAAACGCTGTTTCAGTTGACCAAATGATTGCGCTCCATCAAAAGAACATTTTGGTTGGTTTTCCTATGGGAAGATCATTATGACACATAAGGTGTGTAGTAGTAACTGGAGTGTCTCTGATCAGAAAATCCACAGAAGAGCGTTGCGGTTTGTATGCATGTGACCGCCGAGAGTATGGTACAGAGTACCATGAGTTGAGTCAAGATATCAAAGTTCTGTTTACATGTAGCAGGGAGATAACGCGGCAATGGCCAGACAAAGAGCATAACGGGTTCCAAGCGACTGGTGCTACATAGTCAAGATTGTTTTATATCACAAAACTTTATCAGTCCATCTGACGGTTAGCACCTCGATGTTGCGATTAGAAGGCAAACAGTGGGGTACTTTGAAGACAGAAAGGTGCTATAACAATAGAGAGACTGTACTTGATCTATATCATACAGCCGCCCACTGAAATAAAAAGGCCTGCTTCCGGACCCGTGAGAATAGCACAGAAAGACATTGAAAATTTGCTAAAGTACGGACAGCATCAAATGTGATTGGCAGCTGTTTTTGTTTCATCCAGCGGTGTTATTCACTTGTCCCTTGCAATCGTACAGAGTACCATAACAAGTTAGTCACAACAATAAGTTGAATTCAGTGAAGACACTATCAAACAAATCTTCATTGGTTGCTGGCAAGCGTAAATTACTGATTAGCAATGATTCTAAGTGACAAGAATGACAACAGAAGCACCGGGTGACCCCAGTGGCTGCTCTAGACCAATTTTGATGGAAAAAACATAAACTAGAAACCCTATCCATTTCAAATTGATGAGTGCTCTGTACGGCCGCGCTTTCTGTTATTATTACTATTACTCTGATCCATTCATTACCATGTGCCCGATATTTTAGCTAAACGACGAAGCTTCAGTAGGGGAGCAGTGTTGGACAAAAGAGCATCTGTGAAAGGAGTTCGACGATATCCTCTCTTCAGGAAGTTGATCTATGTAGTTTGGACTTGCCTGAAAGAGAAGAGACACCGTACAAAATAGTGTCCATCAACCGAGTTGCATAAAAAATGGGATAACCACCGTTGACAGTAACACCGGATAATACTAGCGCCCCACTACCGTACAGTTGTAGCGATTAATAAAGGACTTCAGAAGTAGGTTTTGGCAACACGCAAAAAAAGTATACTTACTCGGATGATAAAGAGGCGTTGATCTGGGAATCTTTTTGAACAGGTGGCTTGCGGGAGGTCTCAAGAGTTCCTAGAGTAATCGAAGACGGTTGGAAATCATGCTGTGCTGGAACGCCAGAACTGGAAGTTGACTGATTCGGGACTCGGCTGTGCCTGAATAGTGGAAGAATAACACGAAAAGATGTGTGAACATTCATGTGAACCTCAATTACACCAACTGATATAAGAAAATCCGAGTACAGGAGGTGACAGATAGAGGAAAGTAATACACCGTCACACATGAAGTTTCAATGGGTAGCCTCAAATCCGATCTTGATGACATATACATTTGTTTCCATTACAACAGCAGAAGAAACCGATCAAAAGGCGACTGCTATTATTACACAATTGCAACGGGAAGAAATAACCGTTCAATTAGGATGCGACCCTGAAACACCTACAAAAACACCATCGGCTTCTTGCACGCCAGCATTGACTTTACCGCACGAAACACAGAGGATAAATATCCGCTGGAGTTGACAGGCAAAAGCAGTAATGGCTATGGGTCGTTTATTGTTGTTGGGACGCAGCACTGTAAACTGGACTTCTAACTGGGGAGCTGAGGTTCTGACTAGGCTATAGCTGCTGCGGATGAACCAAAGCCACCGTAGTCCTCTCTGTCCGAGGAGCAGTATCCCCATTAGCTAGGAGACCGGGACTGGTGAAGCCATCCAAGTAAGTTGTGAAATCCCGGCAATCAGGAGGATGCAGTTTGATTCCGGTTGGCTCGCAGCAACAACCCAAGCGACGTAAGTACAAAACGCAAACAAAGCCGTGCGATGAAAAGCAAGCAACCTAATTAATGCTGTCAGTACTTACATGGTCTGTGTCGTCTAGTAAGCAATAGTAATATTCAAATGCAGTATCTGAACTAATATGTATGAAAAGACCTGTTTATTGAGCAGTTTACGTACTCATCTGACAATGATTTAGATACACTTGCCTAGCCAAAAACTTGGTCATAATCGCAATCCACATGAACGTCACCACCTCATTAGGTTGGTGAAAAGGAATCCAGTGACTTCAGTTTGCTACAAGTTCTTAAAAAGTTTCTAGCCAAGCATAGGTAGGACCACGTGCAGCCTACCTTGAAAGGCGAGTCAAACCCGAGTCATAAGCCTCTTGTCTCTCAATCAACGTCAACTGAATTAGAATGATTCTCAAGAACGGGTCTTAGCTTCTTAGAAAACGAATGGACAAACGAGGTCGAACAAAAACATGTTTGGAGTCACTGCGAATGGACGAGTCTTGAATCCACTATCGCCATCAACAGCTGGCCAGTGCGTGAACTGAGTTCAAAGGAGGTGATGATCAGACCACCATTGGCTGTTCTTGAGGGAAAGAACGCTTATTTAGTCGTACATCTGAGCACGATCTTTGCCAAATAAGGCTGTGACATATTTTGACTGTTAGAAAATATATGAAAGTTCACGATACAACTCCAAAGTGCTTCACTCAACTGGGGCGTAGGCAGAGATCTCAAACAGGTTGTTTTCCCCGCTGTTGGTGCACTCAGGCTGTCCTGGCCAACCCGATCGCACACAATTTTTTGTTCGGAGGAATCCAGTCCAAAAGGGCGTCCTCGGTCTACGAACTTAAGGCGATCACTAGAGCGTTAACGCGATCTTCAGTTTCTGGGTCGCTGGATACCCGAAGAGAGAAGTGGGAACACTTAAGGTTCATTTGAGCCAACTTGGGACATATCACCGTGATCTTGTGGACATACTTTTGACAGGTTTTATAGTGTTAGGAAGTATGTGATTAGGAACATTCGAGTGAGAAGAAAATATAGCAGAGATGACTGTTTCTTCAGTGCTGTGGGGAAAATGCTACCTCATGGTTACTCAGGCCGATGAACAAAGGTCGTCTGAGAGGCTTCAACTTGATACTGATCTAAAGGGCCATAGGGTTAAGTGAAGAGCGACCCAGTTCTGACGTTTTACTGAAATCTTGTCGGCGAGGCAGCTAGTGTTAGAATTCTCTCTTCCAGAAGCTAGAGAACAAGAGTATGACACTTTAGGAATTCGCTTTGCCTAAGGGAATGGAGCAAAGCAGACGTCTTATACCCCTTGCCGCTGTGCATTGGCAGCCGCACCAAAGTTTTTGTGAAATTTATTAATTTGCTAACCGTACTGGATAATGCGCAAACCGTCAGGCAATCGCAGCCTACATTTTCAACAGTCGGCCCCTTTTTATTTGTCCTCTTTCGAGGAAAAGGCGGTATCATCACTTCAGAGACTATGGAAATCTTGGTCTTCTAGAGGATTGTCATTGTAACCCCACCACAGAGAGTAGTAGACTTTATTTCCAGACCACATGTCACCACTATTCTGTCGAACGGGAGTTTGCTGCTCCCAGTATGGCAACCCCACTTCGGTCTTCCTTCCTTCAACCAACAAAGCTCGCAGGATTATTACATCAGTCCGACCACCACATCAAGGCAACAGAATTCTAGCCTATATTCATACCAAGACGACGGCCCTTGGAGAACCCCCGGTCGTGGGTTTGATCCTCTCATCAATATAAGGAGGAACAAAATGGAGAGTGAACACCACTGCTTGCATGGAAACTGATGAAGCGTTCTCCATACAATCCTATACTCGTGAGTGTGCAACCACAAGGGACACGTAATTTAAAACGACAAGCCTTGTTGCACCAGTATGTTCAGTAGGGCTAACCGGCCAAAAAATCGAACGCTCTTGAAGTAGATAAGCATCAGTATTGTTCAGCACCCATTTGTATGGTATGGCTTAAACAATTTACAGTGCGTAAAAATCTGGTTGACTAGATTCCTTCTTGGCTGCCTCTTTTCGGACGAGGATTGTGCGTTTCGCATTCAGCAGAATTTAGCCCGTCCGATTAGAACTTTCAACCACATTTCTATGCTAGCGGTGAATGCATCTGCTAGCACCAGAGTGGACGGAATTCCCAATGTGACACCTTCAATCTGCTTGTGCCAGTTACGTTAGAAGCCAGAAAAAACATCCTCTATGCTAAGCAAAGATAGACATTTCAGGTCAGTCGTTGATACTTCACAGTTGATGTGGCCACTGTGGACAAAATATTTTATATGAAGCCAAAACCTGCAAGAGAGAACGACTAGAGTCTGACGGCAATGCAGCAGTTCGACATTTAAGGAAATCGCCACGCAGTTCGCAACCTAGAGTTTTGTGATACGATTAGTCCCTAACCGACCTGGCATGTGTCCATCAGCCTAGTAGAGTTAAATGGGCCACTCGGTTACACGGGCCGTCCCATTCCTGCCAGGTTCAACCTGTTAGTGACAGAAACTTTTGGATGAAAAGCTAACCCGAAAGATGGTGAAACATGAGGCTCCAATAAGCCGGGATCCCGATGGACAACTTCGTCTGGTCATGAGGACCACATTCACTTGTAGATCGATGCATTGATCATCGCAACAACTTTAGCAAGAAATAGAATCTGACTTTTTGGACAGCCGACACATACTCAAAAGGTTCTTTGGGAGTACGAAGCAACCAAGCAGCTCAGGTTCTGAAAGATTCTATGCCAACTGTACTTCTGCACATCATCATCATCATCATCATCGACAGCATGACATCAGTGTTCAACACCGATGCTTCACTGCTTCTGTACATGGAAGTCTCTAAAATTTGCAACTAGAACGAAATTACTAAACCATACTAGTTTCGTGATTTTCGACAGGCTCGATAGTTGTCAAAATTATGGAAAGGTAAAAATAATAAATCAACGAACAGCCGCTTTTAGAGACAAGGGGGCGAGATGGCCCAAGTGGTTAGAGCGCGAAATTACTGACCGAAAGGTCCGTGGTTCGAACCCGACCTCTGCCTGTCGATTTCCCGTCTAGGCTTGGGCAACCTGGCAGTATCCCAGCCCCTGTGCAACCTTCGGGTGGCATAGCAGTTAGGCACCGGAAAGGGTCTACAGCTGAACGATTTCTAAATCCAACGAAAAAAGGGACTTTTAAAGTAGATCTTATGTAAATACTTATTAAAGTGAAGCCTACAGCTAGTGTGGTCGAGTGACGTAAGATGGAGTACAAGTGTTGCTTGTAAAATGCCGGCTTACCTGGTGGGGATAGGTGTAACAGGAGGTGAGTTAGATCGAAGACACTCTGACTCGAGTGTCTCGAATTCCGCAGGGGAGAACGGTGGATTTTTTAAGGGCTGGTTGACTGACCGGCTGCTAGTAAGCGCAGGAAAAGTCTGTCCAGGAGTGTACACGCGTACTATATTGGACAGCGTTAGATTGACGTAGAACTTTTTCCCAGTAGGGCTGAATAAGCTAACCTAGATTTGAATAGAAAATGGGAGGTGCATTGAAAAAAACCATAGATGTGCGTCCATGAAACAGCCTAATACAGAACAGTTAAATTAAACCGGCAAATCTCGGATAATATGATACATATCCTTACTGGGATAGCGAAACAGTTGATAAGGAGCGGGTGGACGATAGAAGACCCGCTTGTCAGGTTCATCCTAACTCAGCACAAGTATTAGCATAGCATCGACAACGCTAGTAACGAGCATCACACTTTGGTCACACGACAAGCCGTTTTTCGGACAAAATACTTGAACACACTTACGTGTCCCTGAGTGACGGTTAGGTGTCTTTCCTAAGTGCGACTGCATCACATCTGGCCGGAACAAGTGATATTATAGAAAACATGCACGCCGTCCGGGTATTTATGGACCGATCACGACTGGTATGACTCAAACTAACAGTGGCAGAAATGACCGGAATCCGACTGCACGACCCGCAACTCAGTGTTCAAAAAGAACTTGCACGATCTCTGAGCCTGATTTGGCTCACGAAAGATTCCATTCAGCGAACTCGTCTGACATTAATGTAACTTGCTTGACTCCAGGTCCACGGTACCCAGGTCCACGTGTACCCCACTTTTTAAAGAATATGTGGATTTCACATAAACTATGAACCTGGTTTCTGATTTGTACTTTATATAAGCTTGTGATAAATTTTAACCAAGAGGACCAACAACAGAAAACAAGCTTTGTTCACGAACTCTCCGAACACGTACCGAGAAGAATCACGCAGCAGAAAATTTGCGGGCAACCGTCCCATGGAAACGTATCATGAGCAATCGAATGAGGGACAATTTCTCGCGGTGTGCACTTATTCGAACACCCACGCAGGGCACCATACATTGGGTCCACAAGGCGAATGCCTGAGAGAACCCGTGAATGTCGCAAGGTTTGGTTACCCGGAGTAATTTGAAACCCAAAATACAATTCGATCGTTATGCATTTGATTGATTATAATCATACTGTTGTCCCTACCGCAGCCAATCAGCTGGTGGAACGGTTCTCGCTGAATCATTCGAAGTTTGCGCACACTCGATTGCTTGCTGTTGCTGCGATGGTATCCATCAGGCCTTACAAACCTGACCTGTGCGAAAAAACAACTAGCACGGACAGTCAAGCCGCCAAACGATAATCGTAGTGCGCATTCCGAGACTCATGCAATCAGAGGGTAAATATTCGTAAAAACGAATTACAGAAAACCTATTCAGATAAGTCGGCAGGTACGTCATTAGTTAGTGATATGTGTCATGGCGAAACATCGAACGTCTTCCAGAGTAGTGATTCGTTCAGAGTTATTTCGTATTACCGCCAGTAGTTCATCATCAGAATTCTCACCTTAACTAATATACCATCCGCATATGGCACTCATGTAAATAACATAAACCGCATTGTAACTTAAGTTCCCTGCTAGCGCAGTGATATTGCAGTATCTGGTCCCACAAGGCAAGGATCCACACTTTACTAATAATGGATGGAACTTGATCCCACAACTTAGGGATCCAATCGATGGTATTACCAGACCAGTCTCAGCACCTGGAAATTAACATGAAATATCAATTAAGTTGACAGCCTCGTAAGAACACTTCCACTATTTGAATAACCTATGAAACAGTCAACTACAGCGTTTTTGTCGCATCTGGAGGGTATCCACTCAAACGGAACAACACTTGGAACCGATCGAGAAACGGATAATCTCATGTTTTCGAGGTATAAGTTAATGTGAAAAAGCGATGATCGAGACGGGTCAGCATCTTCCTGTCCCAAAATTCTAACCCACTGGTTCAACTCCTCAAACAAGCATCGAAAATTTCCTCGGTTACTTAATAACCACGATACTTCACTTGATGCTCTTCCGTAACACTCCTTGTATACTGATATCCTTTTCTATCCGAGTGCACTGCACCATTGGAGTGGAGTAGTGCGACCCTTCGCCCACAGTACTAGCTGAGTTCCACGCAAGTTTTTATTCAGCATGCAGTGACCAATGCAATAGTCAAATTGCAGCACGGCTGAATAAACAGCCATCCTGTCTTTCCTCAACTAATAGCGAGATAAAGCAGAATACGTTGTGTCCTAGATACCTTTTCAATTTCGAAATATTGGCAGCTCACATGTGTTTATTAGTTGTTGATCGGGTGACTGTTTGCCAAGCTTGGAAATTAGCTTGGAGACGAAACGTTAACATACTAATGATCAAGATCGGTAAAAAGATTAAGAGCAGCTTGAACAGTCAGTATTCGATTTAGGGCCTGGATTCAAGGTATCACAAATAACGCATCTAATCGGTGTGACATACAGTAAGGTAAAATCTGATAGGCGATGGAAACAGCAATCTGGTCATGAGATGCGACAGCGGTCATCCCATATAGGGAGACCGAAAGTTATCACTTTGACATCGTGGTTAAGAATGAATGTTACATACTACATTTGCTGGAACTTCGTTCCACAAGATATAACCATGCGCGGAAGACCAAAGGTGAGCAGTCAGGCTGAGCTCGAGATAGCTTAGTGGTTAAGATAAGTGGTGAGGCACAGTCTTACTGACCTTACTGGTTTTACCTGCACCATAGTATCTCGACTGCTCCTGTTCAGACATGAGTAACCTGGCGTTGACTCGGACACCGTGGCAACTAAGTACCGAAAAGGTGTCAAAGAGTAAACACACCCAATACTAAGAGTAATCGTAGTACGAAGCGGTCTGGAGGTAAAGTCGTACTGTCATCTGAAATAGGGATGTGAATGCAGCAAGGTGTTTTGTCCAGGCATGCCTATATTTACCTACCTGTCTCCTAAGAAGGCGAGTTACAAAAGATCGGTCCTAAAAACCACAAGTATGAATGTAAAATATAAAGTAGGCATTCAGTGCCATCTGTCCGTCTGACTTTTCTGATACGATCAAATGACCACTAGATATTATTGAGATCGTAAGTCTCAAGTGATGCCAAGAAATCCATACTTCAGGCAACAAGTACAACGGCGCACACAAATCCCCCAAACACAACACATTGAAAAGTCTAAGGAAGGGACAAAGTCTCTGGTGAATGACGACAGCTCATGAGATGAAAGCTTTTGACGCAGGATACAGTCATACTCAACATAACCCAACTAGATAGACTAGCTAAAGCAAGGGAGCTGTCCGTGAAACAAGAGGTGAAAAAAGTAATCCACCCACGAAAATGTTGATTGGAAGGATGAGCACTTCGAAGATCGGCTTCCTGCAACATACCATTTGGAGACAGGGCATACAGTTGAATGGAATATAAATCTTAATAGATCTTGATAGACGTCAGACGAATAAATAGGGTATAAAATAACTGTTATAAAGCTTCAGAGGTACGAGAGCCGGAGAGTTTGTATTCAGCCCGAATTGTACCACTTATCTAGAAAGTGAGTAGTTGCAGTTTCTCTTGTTCTAACCGGAGTTAACCTATTGCGTTCTATTCGTCGTAGCAATTCTCTTGATCACAGCCTCAATGTGACAGTCTAATAGGCGCAAATGAGTTGATAAGGAGAGCGCTACTTCAGTATGGCAGGACCAATGAGATATCCCACTCAAGAAGATCGGATAATTGCCAGACAAACCAACATGGTGAATGACGTTTCCTCTTCAGCCCGCCAAAGAATAAGAACGAGGGGAAAAGCTTCTGTAATAAACGTACTTGCTTCAGCAGTAGCAACACGCAGTTGCTAAGTTGTTCTTTATAGGTCTTGATCACAGAGCGATGAATGGTACAACCCAGTGAACCTACAAGGAAGGCAAAGATTAGTGGAGACCGAGACATTCTCAACCTGTTTTGTCCTTCAGAACACCCTTTGCATCGGTTGGAAGAAGCTCCACATCGTCCAAAAAGCCACACATGACGGGCACCTTACCGCGAGGTAAGAGGCCTCGTGTGATCTAAGAACCATTGATTTTGGCAGGCAATCCGAATACCTGTTGGAGCACATTGGCAATGGAATACCTCTCAACAAGAGGCCATATGACGGGGCCGCAGTCGTGTTGAATGCGATTCATAAGTTCTGATTCTTCTGTGTCACTTGCAATAGACTGAGACAATGAGTGAGACGGGGGATCACATTGGACTGATCCAACATTGGGCTAAAAGCAAAACAAGAAAGGAGTGAGAAGGAACAAACCTTTTTGTGACGAGATCCACGTGGTAGATCCAATTTGAACTCCATCCTCCCAGACTAGGATGGATTGAAATAATTAGTATTATGCGTTATACCTGTGGTAGCATACCTGCGGGACCCGGTAATCTCTTTCGTCTGCGCATGTTTACTATTTCAGGTAAGGGGGACTGCACTGAATGAAAGTAAAAAGTGAGGAGAAAATCAAGGAATCATACAATGGTTGGTTACTAACCTGATCGTCTTCTATCAAAAGATGACAGCGGCTTTGCAGCCGGTAACCGTTCAGGAACCTTTCTATGCAAATCTGAACCGACCCCGGAGATAAAATCTGAGTCAGAATCGTCATCTTCATGAAGAAAGGGTGCATCAAACGGATCATCCAGCTCCTAGATGAAGATAGAGACAGAAAGAACGAATAATGGTCAAGAGAGTGGTAGCCAACAGAATTACGAGCAACAGCAGGCGGCTCAGCACCACACTAACGTAAAACTGAAACAGTTCCGGTGTAATGTATCCGACCTTCCATTTCTGAAAAAAACTCTACGTTGAAACCGAAGGAAAGATAACTGGTGAGAAATGGAACAAGCAGATCCGTGTCCATTATGTGGGCAGTGCGTGTGACTGTAAAGGGACTCTCCATTGTGAAATGAAACCCTAATAGGTGCTGTCGCCACTCAGAGTGGAAATTTTACAATTATTCACAGGAAGAACCTCAACCTATATTGTCCAAACATAACAAACAGCACAACAAAAGCGTGACACTGAACACAAGACACTCAAATGTGGAAGGGAGCATCCCACAAACTACATGAGATAAATGCCACCATGCATGCCATGTGGCTTGCTGCTATTACCTGCAGAAAGAGAGGCGCAATCTGTGGTCATCCGTCAAAGCCCATGAGGTGGAAACTAAAAGCTGAGAACAACATACAATCCCCAAATTATTAGTATCTATGTTCATTCTTCCATCTCGTTCCCTCGGGTTAACACTAGACACAGAGAGCTCAGGTGTGCACAAATGACTCAATGCAAACGATACGTGACATTACCTATTACGGAATCCAATCGACATAGTTAGAACAGGCAGGTCAACCCGAAAACGGATGACAGCACACCATTTATACGATATATATATATAT